CCATAATATCGGCTGATAAGACAAAAATACCTCACCAAATGTTGCAGATAATGTTCTGAGCATCACTACCGTCACCTTGTTTTTTGTGTGTGTTTATTTGTTTGTAGGAGGTTTGTTCAACCTGAGTTATGTGGGTGGAGCAGTATTCCTGTGGAGTACACACACACACACACACACACACACACACACACACACACACACGCATGCAAACACGCATGCACACGCAAACTGATAAAAGAATGAAGTAACTGTTAGGTCGTGATCATATCCCTCAGTTGTCAAGGACCACTCTGCACTGACCTGTCATGACCTTATGCTTTTACTCATTATCTATATCCATTAGTCAGCATTTATGACAGCAAACACAAATACAAGTCTTTATTGATACCGTAGGAGAATAGCCTCTAGTCGATTGTGTCTCCTTTCTGTCTCTTTCTCTGTCTACCTCACTTCAACAACCACTCTAAGTCAGGGTGCCTTGCATTATTTACATGTTTATGATTAGTTAAGCCCCACATGGAGCCGCCATCTGTTGAAAAGTGGCATAGAATCAGTCTTCCATTATTCTCACTGAAAGAAAGAGGAGAAATGGTTAGGGACATATCAGTGGACTTACTGTCTATTGACATGAGAACCCTAAAGACATAAAGTCCGATATTAATGCCTCAGTACGTGCTGTATTGCTTAACATTTGTGTTTAAATGTTAACCTCAAGCTTCAAAGAATGTACAGATGGTGCCTGGCAACCCAGTGCATTTACAAGACACAATTTATTGGTATTCAGCTCAATAAATTGTAACTATTGGCGACTATATTTGATATTGTTGGAGATTAAATTAGCATACCACTGTTAATGGCAATTCTTTTCTGGTGATTTCAGTTTCAAACAGCAGTAGTTTGAATTAAGAACAAAAAGGCAAACTTTCATTGTTTGCCTGCATCCACAGTGCCACAAAAGATACCAGCCTTCAATCCATATTATTCCACTGAAAAAATGGCAATTTAAAAACTAATTAAGTGAAAGGATTGCATTTTATTATTAAGTCATTCTTCCTGTGGACAATGGGGAGAGCTGCACTGACGGGCCATTGTTAAGAAAAATGACCATTTTCAGGGTCAAAACTAACCAAACCTCTTAAGAGCGAAACTTTAGTTTAACATTGTTTGATCTGAACCTGTGCGAACCTTGCTCTATTTCCGTTTGTATGCTTGCCATTGTTTGTTAGCCAGTGAAGGCAGCCTGTTTGCCCACTGCCACAGAATTTTTATATTTTTTTTTTTTCCCATATATATCTACAAAGCTCACACACGGGAAATCAATAATAAAATGTTCTCAAATTCATATGAGTCAGTGGCCACGGCCCATGAAGAGAACAACAGTGTTTCAGCCTGCTGCTGAGAATAGTGTTGCCCAGGAAGTGTTTATGTTGCCGTGGTGTAGCAGCACAGTCTGACTTGGCAACAGGCTTCCCTGGCTGCCTGGTGTCCAGCAGCCTGTAGCTGACAGGATCTGCCAGGTGCAGTGAGCGAGTTTTCTCTTTTTCCACTGGTTTCTTGCATTCTGGTACCTCACAAGAAAAGACGGTCTGTTCATTTAAAGACACCACAAATGCATTACTTGCTCTTGAGTTAGGTCATTAGTAATTGTATTCAGTTATTTCTTCAATGGTTTCTTATCTGAAGGCTTTTTGTTCTTCAGTTCAAAATAATACTGCATGCCAATGTTTGGCTCGTACATTTTAAAACCTTTGAAATTACCATGAGAAAGCAACTGCATGTACATATATTTTCTCGCATCGATACACCAACGCTGTAATGTAAATAATGTCGCAATTCTGGCTTTCTGATTAAAATGACAAATTTCAACAAATTGTAATTGCCAGTCACAAATAGGAATAATAAAATGACAAGTCTGTGTTAAGAAGATGTATACCAAGTCAGTTCACATGTTCCATTATTTATAAAGGTCCCTACACATTTGCATGCACATATATTTTTTTTCAAATTTTCATTCTTTTTCTAGATTTGCATTTCTAGATCAGTTTTCAGCATTTATTTTAGCACAAACGTAAACGGATTCTTGCAGTCTTATCTGTAGGTTCAATAAATTATAGCTCAACACAATGCTGAAACTAACTTTGACCTACTGATGGGTAGAATGGTAAAACTAAGCTGTCATTGGCATACAAATATAAATAATATCATACCTATCCAGAGCATGTTAAAAGCACTGTATTTATTAAGCATTGATAGATTTTTTTTTTCTCTCTCTAGAAAATTGAAGACAAGAAAAATCAATGAAAATGCTATTTTCTTCTCATGCTCTTCTACACCTGGAATGTGGCGAGACAAAATGCCAGACTTTTCAAAGCTCCATAAGCACCCTGCTTAAACACAGGTGGCTGAAGGTAGATAGCACAACTAACTACATTGCACTGTTTTTATTTTAACAACCAAACATGTCAAATGTCCCACTGCAGAACAGCAACAGTACAGAACTCTGTAAAAAGCCCCCCAATCTGTCAAAGAGGACCAATTCCTTCTGCAGGTGTTTGGCTGAAACTTAAAAGCATTTCAACATCTCTTTAGGTGCTCTGGGACCTGTGTACATTGATTAGTAATTGTCCTCCCTACATTCCTGAGAGGCTGTTTGTCCCACTGGGAGGTGGCCGTTACACCACAGCTGATCATGGGAACCATTCAAAGGCAATCGGAGCAAACACACTGCAGATAAGCACTTAGCTGGAAATGGACTGGCTTGGGTTGGGAACAAAGTCTCGTGATGGAGCTCCGTTTGTCGGGTTTATGTGGAAAGTGTCACACAGAGCAGTCCAGTTGCTGCACTGAAGGGCTTTCTGAAAAGCTTTTAACAATACCCCTCATGTAAGCAAAACCATAAAACTTTTCTTTTCAGTGGGTTAAAGTGGATTACTTGGTTTATAGGGGCTTTAATCATAGTTAATCTAGAGAAATACCAAAAAAGACAAATAGCACTATGTTTTACAGTGTAATACAGGGGCATTCTGGCTCTATTCTGCACAGGCCAGTAAAGGTATAAATTAATGGTTCGTAAGGGTTGTGTTACAGTACCACAAATTAGCACACAAATAGCACTATAATGTGTTATTTATAACAGTTTCTGACCTGAGTGAAGTTCCCCCCCATCACACTGCTTCCTTCTTCAAATCAAACCAAACTGATACCAACTCTGTTACATTTGAGCTGTAACAGCACAAATGTGTGCTGTGTAGCAGCAGCTTTTTTTGTTTTGTTTGTGCAGCTTTGTTTTGAAGACATTTATTAAATATCTCATGAAAGTTTCAATAGGTCATCAGTGGTCAAGAGCTTATAGGAAATCAAAACTAGAAGTTTAGGAGTTTGTTGTTTCCAGTTCAGTGTCCTGTGAAGAACTTTAACCACTCTGATACTGAAGGGAGTGAAACGTATGCATCAGGTAGGCTGTAGGTGTGCACCTGTTATAGCCCGGTAGCCTGACCAAGGCATATCCCTTCTCCAATCCATTAACCACTGGAGAGAAGCATCAGCAAGATTAAAGCAGGTACAGAAAAATGGATGGGCGGACAATAGTTTATGGTATTCAGAATCAGATGTTGATCATTTTAGAATGGAGAATAAAAGTCTGATGAAAAACAGTAATAGTCCTCTCTGGAAAAATGCAAAAAGCAATTCAATTCTTTCTGAAGAACCCTGTGCAGACATCTCCATAACAAGTTAGAGAGAACAATTTTTAAAGAAAATGACAGAGATTTGACATCTGTAAATCCAGACCAAATCAGAGGTGATGAGTTATACGCTCTCGTTTTGCCTTTTTCCTTCATGTGAACTTTTGCCTCAGTATAGGGTACTACACATACTATCTATTTTGGGATATAAACTTCCATGTGGACAACTCTGTGTTTTTCATCTTAGAGTGTAAAATATGGAATTACAAAGATTTGTATTTACTTAGCCATGAGCTGTGCAGGATGCAAAAAATAAAGTTTTGGATCTGCATGATTTGATTTTTGCTACACCTATTTGCATATTTACACTTACCACACATATTAGGTTACAATATTTTCATGTATCTTGCAGCATATGTATTTTCAAGTTCACTTCATAAAGAAAAATCTTTATATGTTATGATCTCAGGGTTTTGGTTTTTCACCGAGGGCCACTGCAGCATATTGGCCCCCCTCAACGGGGCCACATTGACGGTACAAATCAAGAGTGCATCCCTGCTAAAACACCCCAGACAAAAGGTTGACTTCCCTCATTCAGTTCTGTAGAGGCTTATAATGAGTCAATGGTCCAGGTGTGTTAGAGAAGGAATGCATCTAAAGCTGCAGATGGTAGCTCCGGAAAACTAGATTTGGGCTCCCCTAGCATAAATGTATGAAAATACAATGTTAAAAATAAATTAAACACCTCATATTGTTAAATAACTGATTTTATGTATTGAACTTTTAAATATTACATTTGAGTTTCCATGGATGTAAAAATTACTGCTCAGTTTAAAAATTACATTATTTAAATCAGTGTTTTAAAGGTGAGCAAGCAAATAATAAAAACAAGTCACATGGGCAGACATTATAGACTTTAAGCAAAGATTTAGTCTCAGAGGCAACTGAAATCAATTAATTAAAAAAATCCTTTCTGAATATCATCTGATGGTCTCTGAACTAAATGCGTCTTTCTGACAGCGTGTTGAAGAGTTATGGACCGGGCGCTTTGGAGCGTCTGGTTAGGAAGCGCGTTACAAACCTTTGGTTGAAATGTAGTTTGTAGTCAATTCGTGCTCAAAACCTATTTTAAGTCAATCATCGGCCTATAAAATGCTGTGGGGCCACATGTGGCACGCGGGCCTTGAGTTTGACACATGTGCATTACACCATAGAACTGCCAATTGGTAATTGAAGTAAAGTAACTTCGATTTCAAAGAAGCCTACATTGAAGTCGATTGGCAAATGAACCAATCAACTTGGCATGGAACATGAAAGAGGAAGGCTCTTATTGTCTCACTGCACCCCAAAAGATGCATAACCTACAAAATCCATTTCTGTCTGGTTTTGAACCAGAGACCTTTGGCGTGTAAAGCAAACGTGATAACCACTACACTACAGGAACTGAACTTGTCTGCTTTGTTTAAGTTTGAGGTTCTAAAGTTGATGATGTGAGATGCAACATGAAAATTTCAACTGAAGTTTGCACTCAGATGCCTGGATTCTGAGTACAGACCATGACACCACAGAACCCTTGTTGACCTTTAGTAAACACCTGTGATAAATACAACATGCAAAATCTGTTTCTGTCTGGTTTCGAACCAGAGACCTTTTGCATGTAAAGCACATGTGATAACCACTACACTACAGAAACTCATGCTCTTTGCAGTGTTCCTGGTAGATGATCCACATTTTGTTAGAGACTAATGTCAACGATGGGCAAAGAACAATGTCAAATACTTATACCACAGATCCTTTCAGAGAGCACAGTAACTTGGTGAACAAACTGTCAGACTTATTATACTTGTGCCTAATTTCACATTACAGTCCATAAACTAAGCCTGGGATCAAAAAATGTATAGAAAATGTCATTAGCAGAGACAAATGGTTCTACAGAGACTTGGCTAAATGGCTATAAAATAAAATCAATACTTACAAATAAAAAATGGTTCAAAAATAACATTAACACATTAAAATAAAAAAATATCTCTGAAATACAATCAACACTTAAGAATTAAAAATGGTTCAAAAATAATATCAACACTTCAAAATACAAAATCTCTGGAAAATAAAATATGATGTATGTTGTTTTGAAAAACATTAGAATATATCCACTTTTATCAAATCTTCATTGTGGTAAGATCATGTAAGTTCTTCTTAAATCCATGGAAACTCAACAGTTTGTAAGGTAGGTGAGTTAGCTCAGCAGGTTAGAGCACAGTGTTGGTAATGCTGAGGTCATCGGTTCAAACCCCGTATGGGGCAATTCATGTGTAAGGTCTTTCAGACAATCAACACTTCACAATAAATAAGGGTTCAAACAAAAATAAAATCAACACTAAAATAAATAAGGGTTCAAAAATAAAATCAATACAAAATTAATATCAACACTTCACAATAAATAAGGGTTCAAAAAAATTAATACAAAAATAAAATCAACACTTTACAATAAATAAGGGTTCAAAAATAAAATCAACACTGTACAATAAATAAGGGTTCAAAAATAAAATCAACACTTTACA